CAGCCTGCCTGCTTTAGTCTGCCTGGACTTCAACTCCCAGAATCCCTCAGCCTGCCTGCTTTAGTCTGCCTGGACTTCAGCTCCCAGAATCCCCCAGCCTGCCTGCTTTAGTCTGCCTGGACTTCAGCTCCCAGAATCCCTCAGCCTGCCTGCTTTAGTCTGCCTGGACTTCAACTCCCAGAATCCCTCAGCCTGCCTGCTTTAGTCTGCCTGGACTTCAGCTCCCAGAATCCCCCAGCCAACAAGGGTTTACTGGAATTCAGCATGGATAGTCCAAGAACAAATACCACATTTTTTTTTTTTTTGATAGAGTAACTTTCGTAGTAGATAGTGGGAATGCGGTAGACATATCTTGAAAGTGGAAAAAATAACTACATTAAGCTAAATTAATAAACAAATAAGTAAACGAATTGTGACTAGATGGCAGGATAATTATAATGGAAAACTGGATTCTCCTGGCTGAGGAATTCTGGGAGTTGAAGTCCATCTCGCTGAAGTTGAAAAACATGGTTTTAACACAGTTTTTTCCCCAGCCTGGCCACTCGGAGGTGTACCTTGGGAATCTCCTGCAAGGAATTCTGGGCAATGGAGTCCCATCTCCAAATTGAAGTAGCCAGCTTGGTTGAAAACGAGAAGCAGACTTGGAAGGGACCTTAGAGGTCATCTAGTCCAACCCCCCACCCCACCCCCCGCCTAAGCAGGAGACCCTTCCTATACCATTTCTGACAAAATGGCAGTCCGGTCTCTTCTTGAAAGCTTGAAGTGATGATGAAACAGAAGAACTACGACCATCAACTCATTTGATTTATTTGTTTGAAAAAAAATAATTTTTACGAAACAATTTTTCTTATATACCACATTATTTCCATTCATTGCAACGCTTCCGTGACGGTATACATACTTTTACATAAATCTTACACCTATCTGTACATTTGTCTATATTCCTTAAGCTATCTTTGTCCACTATAACCTTTGCCTTATTATTCTATTCTCGTCTTCTCTATTCATCTCTATATCTATTATTTAGCCAATCGTACAGTGCATTCCATGTCAAATAATAATCCGTTTCCTCTCTATCTTTTATCTCCATGGTCAACTTATCCATCTCGATACTCTCTAGTATCTTTTTAAATCACATTTTCCTCTAGTGGCGTACTGTTTTTTATCCAATTTTATGCAGAAGTTAATTCTATTATTAGATGTATTATTAGATGTGTATTAATAGATGTAGCAATGCATATTCTGTTTTCTTTTTTATTTTTTTATAAACAAACAAAAAAATCCATTCCATTTCAATCGTGCGTCGATTAGGTACATATTTCAAATTACTTATGCATTATTAATAAGATTCTTCTTATTCATGTTACAACGTAATAATAATCACATTCCCATATACATAGTACAAATGAGATCCAATATACCTCTTACATTAATTCCTCTTATTATTTTATAACTACATCTAATCCTTTTTCGTTTATTCTATTTTGTATCCATTGGTAAAACAAACCCCATATCATATAATATTCAGATTCTTCTTTTTCTTTAATTTCTAGTGTCAACCTATTCATTTCTGCACATTCAAATATTTTTTCAATTATTTTTCCTTCTATTGGCATCTTATCACTCTTCCAGTTTTGGGCAAATACAATTCTAGATGCTGTTAAAACATGTATAATGAAATAAGTCTTTTCTTTACTATAAACTTCTGGTACCATTCCTAGCAAAAAATATTTCAGGCTTCAAATCTATGTGTTGTTTAATCATTTTCTCCAACCATATATGTATCTTAGTCCAATATCTCTTAGCTTCCGTGTAAGTCTACCACATGATAATATGTTCCTGGTATCTGATGACATTTCCAACATTTAATTGATTTTTCTTTAAACATTTTTTGCTAATTTTGCTGGCGCTAAAAGCCATCTATAGTACATTTTGTACAAATTCTCTTAGCACTGTCAATATTGTCAGTTTATAATTTCTGTCCCACAGTTTCTGACATTTATCCAATTCTATGGCGTAACCAAAATATTTTGTTCATGCTATCATCATTTCTTTAACTTGTTCTTCTACTCTGTTTTCTTATCATATTTTCCCGTTATTATACCTAATTGAAAATTCTCCGGTCTTAGTTCAATTTGCTGTTTAATTATTTCTTCGGTTTCTTTGCACCATTTTTTTTTTGTCCTTATCCGGTTTTTTCTCGCTACAGGGCATGTCCACCACACAGGGTTATATGTTGCTTGGTTGTTGTTTTTTTTGCATTTCCAACATTCAGACGATCTGTCCCAACTCATTTTAATTTCCACCCGGGGGGGGGGGGGGCTGGGGGGGTGTTCTTGCTGTTGCAAAAGCTCCCCGCCACGCCACGCCACCTTTAATGCCTTCTGTGGCTGCTTGTTCAAAAACGTGGCAAAGCAAGAACGGAAATTGCAAGATGCGTAGGGTGTTGTGACTCTGTGGCCACAACTCCACTTTGAATCCCCATGCGTCCACGCTCAGCATATCGTTTGCAGTGGTTTCTGACCCGCCCTGGCTGACATATTTCCTTCCTTTTCTCTCCCCCCCCCCAAAATCAATAAATAAATAAATCCCCACTTTCAGGGCCGCTGTTGAGACCGCGGAACTAGAAGTGTCGATTTTGGAGACCCAGTTGGAAAAGGTGAGCAGGTGACACGCCTGGTTTTTGCACGCTGGCAAAGGGACAACGGCCGTGTCAGGTTTAAGAGCACACCTGAGTTTTGCACCAAATACTTTACAAACTGTTCGTGTGTTTTCCGCCCCCGCCCCTCCCCAGGAAAAAAATCCAGAAGTTGCAGAATTGGAGACAAGGAAGGAGAACGTAATAAAAATGTTTTGTTTATAGGTCTTTAAACGCCTGTGGCTGCTTCTGGGTTGCACCACCTGACACCGCAGGAGAGCAATTTCCTGTCTAAGGCAAAATCTGTCCCAGAACTGTTCAGATCCTTTGTGATCTAGGTCCTTTTAGATCCTAAAAAGGTGTTTCTTCAATGCTCCCAGAATTCCCCAGCCGGTCAGGGTTTCCTGGAATTCAGCATAGAAAAGGACAAGAACAATTATCACCTTTTTTCTCCCCCACTCACATGGGGCAAGTTTCTTAATAGATGGTGAGAATGCAGTAGATGTAATTAATATATCTTGACTTCAGCAAACCTGAGAAAATAACTCATGACAAGCCGAATTAATAAAAGGAGTGAAAAGTGCATCGGATGGCAATCCATCCGGGCGCCAGTTCCACAGCCACAGCGAGAGTTTTGCATCAGGGCTGCAGGAGTTTTCCCAGAATCCCTCTGGGTAGGTAGGAAGAAGAGAAAGGGAAGAAAGGAGAGTGGAAGAAAAAAGAGAGAGAGAAAAGGAAGGATGGAGGGAAGGAAGGAAGGAAGATGGAAGGAAGGAAGGAAGGAAGGAAGGGATGATGGAAGGAAGGTGGACAAATGGAAGGAAGGAAAGAAGAAAGAAAGGGAGGAAAGGAGGGAGGAGGGAACGGAAGATGGAAGGATGAGAGACAAGGAAGGGAGGGAGGGAGGCAGAAGGAAGGAAGGAAGGAAAGGAGGATAGAAGGAAGCAAGGTAGACAAGAGGAGGGGGAAGGAAGGAAGAAGGGAGGGAGGAAGGAAGGATAGAAGGAAAGAAGGTAGACAAGGAGGGAGGGAGGACGGAAGGAAAGGAAGAAGGAAGGAAGATCGACAGGAAGGAAGGAAGGAAGGAAAGGAAAGGAAAGGAAAGGAAA